TTTTTTTTTTTTTTTTTTTTTTTTTTAAATCATGAAAATTGAATCGATTGGAAGGATTAACGTGACACTGTTGGATATCTTTCTAAAGAAATGAAGTTCTAAATGTGCTTCGGTTCGTTTCGAAAATACGACCTCAATCCTCTCTTGTGGTTGATGTAAAATGAAGGTCTTTGCTTTCACGCTATCTTTGATCGTGATTTACAAGTAAGCAAATTATACTAAGGGACACTTCATCGTAGGGAAATTACTAACGAGCTAGTTTGTTTGACCATTGCTACAGAGTTCGATTCTTACTGGATGCTCTCTACTTGTGACCTTGTGCCACACTAAACCAAATAAATGACAGTATTTGGTGCCGGGAAATTTGAGTTCGTCATCTCTCGAGAATCTTTTCCTGACCCAAACCTAATTTTTATTTGGCTTCATTTGATACTCTGACCCACAACTGACCTTCGATTTAGAAAAGAACATTGCTCCTTCATTATCTATTTTGTTAAGATAAAAAGACCTTCCAAAGGAAATATTTATGCTTGACTAATATTTATCTTATATTTTCCCCATAGCAACAATCTCAATACAAAAAAATGTCCTCCATATAAGTTTCATTGCTTATTAAAGTGATTTCCAAGTCTAATTATGTAAAATATTTTAACTATTTATTTTGAACTGAATGTATGGATTTTTGTGTGTGTGTATCTGGAGTTATAGCAATGTTTTATTTTCCAAACACGCTGTACGCTGTGTTCATAGTTGATGATATTGAGTGTAGGCTTTTTTACTTATTAGTGCTTCCATTATTTTTATTCTTTTGCTTTTTTTTTTTTTTTTTTTTACATGTGTGTGTGTGTGTGTATATATATATATATATATATTACACACACGTGTGTGTAGCATATCGTCATTCAAGTATGTTTGGTTGAATAATCTAGACAAGTTATGTCTATTTTTATTTTAATCTTCTCAAGTTTATGGATCAATTTCTTAGTGTTGGCACAAAATTGATTTAAAAAGAAGCCATAATTAATCTTACAGTTTTTATTTTACCCGAGTACTTTCACTCTTATCCAGGATCATCTTCAGGTGTGAATTGCTAAGACAAAAATTAATGTATTTGGCAGTTATAAATATTGTGCGTACGTATGAACGCACTCGGTTAATTCAAACTTTTTACCGCTATGTAAGGGAGGTAACTTAATTTATATTATACGATTATATAATTAGTTTTAATTTTACTGGCATCACTGGTGGATATATTAATGCTTAATAGTTTTTTTTAGTTTTTTTTTTCAACCTTGTTTATAGTTGGAATGTATTTGATTGTGGTATAGTAGGTTATGTTTTGTATTATTTTAGGAAGTATTGTGTGTGTGTGTGTGTGTGTATATATATATATATATATATATATATATATATATATATATATATATATATATATATACACACACGAGAGGGGTGTATTTAGGCAGCAAGATAAGCTCTCTATTAAACTTTTTCTTATTTCTTTACAATTTTCGAATGAGGTGTTGTACATCAGGATTGAAGTTATGAATAAATTGTCCTAAGTTCATGTTTTATTTCCTTGTTATATTCAAGTTTTGACTAAATTCTGGCATTTTAGATTTGCTGGAATCACTTAAAGTGACATCATTTATAACGATTTAACGAGAAATCGTGTATTGAATATCTATTCGTGCTTCTTTTTTTCTTAATACACACGTCAATATAGGATATCCTATGGATTAAGATCTTTTATTTAATACAGATTGTTCCTTTTGTATTATAATAGCTTCTAGAATTAATAGATGACACTAAAACATTATACAGGACTCACTGTATATAAAGACTTAACATTCTAGAATATAGTATAATGCAAAAGAAACGAACATCATTAAATAAAATACTTTTCTCGATAGGAGATTGTATATTGAAGCAGACCCTTTATAGACAATAACAGAAAGTGCTCAGTGCCTATAGCAAAGATTTGGTTTGGTTGTTTTTGTTTAGCGCATATCAACACCTATATGGGTTATTTAATGCGGAAATCTGAATATTTTGTATTCAATTTTATTCTATTAACTACAGATATTTTGTACATAATTTTATACTTTCAGGGTAAAGGTATTTTTAATATGCATTGCTAGTAAATTTCACTACAAATATGTATTATACTTTTTTAGTGTTGTCTTGATTGTCGTTTTGCTATAAAAATATATCGGTGGTAATTTTACTATAAAAATGTACTGTTGATTTTTGTTTCGGAATTCACTATTTGCCCATAGGTGAGATGCTATTAGGTGCGATCACCCCGGGTGAGGGTGGACCTGGGAGCAACAGTAATTAAGCGACGGTTCCATGTTCCTGAAAACCTCCAGTCTCCCGATCAGAACCCTTGCTGCCGGATGTAGTTTATTGTCACATTCATGACTGCTATAGCAAAGACTGAGCAGTAACACTAACCAACGAAACCGCACTTGTTCTTGCTGTCTGACGATCGCTCTGCAAGAAACTTGAAATAACAATTTGAACTTAGTCTCTTTGCGCTGTTTTGTTGACATATATAATCAGTGGCGACTCTGTCATGAATGTTTGTCGGGCTCGTTATATAATCTTTAAAAATATTATTGTATAATTTAGAATAAAGAAATCATTTTAACATCTAACTAAAAAAATATAAGTTTTAAAAATCTCTGGGAATGAAATTAAAATAAACACATTTTGGTATTTTAATATTAATTGTAGCAATTTTTAAAAAATAAACAATTAAAAAAAAATTAGACATGTAAGAAAAAAAGTGAAGACGAAGTCAGGTGTGCTTATTTTTTATGTGTTGTTTTTGTTTTTTTAGATAACGTGTGTGTCTATCTCGAGTGTGTGTTCGTATATATGTCTATGCGTTAGTGTGTTTATGTATCTCTCTGTGAATTTTATTGTATATTTATGATCAGTACTGCTGACTGATATCATTACCTCGACACTACCCCAGTCACACTCCTCGCTCCCAACCTTCCAGTCAACGAGTTAAGGCTGCCACTTTTTTTTTGATTTTCGCTGAATTTAAGGTTTGGCTAAATTTAATTTGCCCTTTATCAAAAGATACATTCCGTTAAAAAAACGGGCATTTGAAAACAAGGGAGCATACAAGTCATTACTGATTTTTGAAAGATTATTTATAAATTAAACCAAAAAATACATTGCCTATTAATATGTCTCCAGCATCGAACAGGCTCAGACCTACTCAGCCTGACTAGTCGCGTTAATTTTATTTTATTCTCTCTCTCTCCCTTCTGAACAATATCATGAAAATGTATTTTGGTCAGTATTTTGAAGCACAAAGTTAAAACAATTTTGAATTCAAGAATCAAAACGAACGAGGCACTACGAAAAAAATGTGTTGCTTTGAAATAGATATACTTGTATGTTGACTCACTCTGGCTAAGCCCCACCCTCAGAGTTGCCACTGATATATTAACGTACGTTTATAATGAGGCTAGAATTCGCTTGTGAGGTGAATTTACTGATTATTTCTCTTCCAACGGATAAATCTCCCAAGCAAATGAAGAACAATGAAGTAGATAAAATTTGTTTGCTTATATATCCATTGCCATTGATAGCAGGAAACCGAATCGATGTACTTTGTATCTATTCTCTCAAATTATTTGGCCTAGTGTCCTTTTTATTTATCTCTATTTCAGCCGATATGCTTTTTAGCTTTACCCATAATATATAATCAGTAACATACAGTACCTGTTCAGTTCATGCATTAAATTCGGGTCCCCCGAATATTCGTGTCTCGTGCTCCTGAAACAAAGAAAGAAATATTTGTGATTCACTGAATTATTAAAATTTATTGAATTCTTGTGTTGAATATAATGACAACAGAACTTGTCTTCAAATCCTCTTTGTTTTCTCTCTTTCTGTTTGTCTGTCTTTTCCCTCACTCACTCACTCACACACACACACACACACACACACACACACAACTTATTACCGCTCAACCAATGCCATTCATATGTGAATGACCTTTACTCTCGACGTATTCTCTGAGTATTATGCTTCGGCTCACATATCATCTGAACGTTTAATATTCAAAGAATCTCTCGACTGAATCATAAGTAATTTCCGTTTGGGGAAGGAAACATTTTTACTGACGAATGGATTATCCTTTGGACTAACCATGTTCAACGCGGAAGGCAGTCAATTGACACGGATAAATCTTTACAACCATTACGGCTCTACATGAAGGTCGGAAGGTAATTAGGATTGCATTCTGTATCCTAACATAGCTGGTCAATGTGGTGGTTGCTGGACAACCAACCCGGCTTGCGCCATAGCTAGGTGTCCAGAGCAGTAGATCACTCGCGAGTTATTGTTTTGCTTGCCAGCAGCATTCTGTGTTCGCGTAAAATTGTAGAAAAATCGGGAATGGATCGTCGTCCATGAAGCTGTGATTTAGTTGGATGTTGTCTCCAAGTCATGTTAAGTATGGCTCTCAGCATCCAAGTGTAGGTTCCATGAAGCTTAGACTAGGGTTTTAGTTAATTTCTAGGTAGTGGCACCATACATTAACACCGCCTCTACAGTTTCTCGAAAGAATCTCCGCCTGAGGTTGTCTGGTAGATCAAATTTCTAGCTTACATCCATCTTCTTCAAGGCGGCCCAGGCTTTAAACATGCGGAATTTTGCTCAAGATGTATCGAAGAGCTGCCTTATAAGCGACAACAAATCATTGCAATAATTGTACTACTTTTTTTAAGGAATATGGGAATTCTGACTCAGCAGAATATTTTTTACAAAGACTTGGCTAGTTCAAACTATATGCAGGAATCGGGAATTATTTCTAATTTCAGTCGCAGTTTCCAGACATCAGACTTTCTTTCTTCTCTCGTTCCTTTTCATCTCGTACAGTTTTCAAGGCTTGGTCTATTTTTCAAACATTGAACTACGTGTCGTATCTTCACATATTTGTAATGGGACTTTTTTCTGCTTGAGAATCCAGGCTAACGGCCACATCACGTTGAAACACCGATTCCCGTACGACCATCGAAGTTAAACAACGTCGAGCCTGATCACTACCTAGATGGATGACTGCTTGGGAATATATGGTACTGTAAGCTTGGTTGTGCGGGTGGTGTAATGGTTAATGGCCCCGAATTGTTAATCGGAGAGCCGAGTTCCAATTTCCGTTGGCTTGTTATATTCACTTACGCGCAAATACTCTTGGGAAAGGTATGAATTCACCCCCCTACTATGGGTAAAACTTGTATCATTAAACCATTATTATTTCCAGAAAAAATTCTTAGAATCCAGAAATATTTTCTGGCTTTAAATAACTTGCAAAGGGATAAGCTGTAACAACGAATCCATCAATCAGTGGCTGAGCATCCTTTAAACAGTTTCATATAGAATTTTACTATCATGTTTACGGAACTCTGTTGGTAATCCGTGAAAAACCGTCCTATTTTCGAAAGCTGTTGATAGTTGGTGTAACTTCGCTTTGAACATTTGAAAGGTTGTCAGTCTTTAGATATTTCTCCCTACAGATGAAGAGACTTAAAGCAACGGAAATGTTGTTCTACAGAAGGATGCCGAGAATACCCTGGACCGAACATGTGAGTAACGACGAAGTTTTTAGAAAAAATGGAAACAAAATGGACACTTATAGATAACACCAGAAAAATATTGTTGAAATTTCTAGGGCACATAACGAGGAAAAAGTTTGTAAAAATTTACTACTCACAGGACTGATTGAAGAGAAAACAATGCCAGTGGGGTAGCTAGAGTAAACGTCACCCGGGGCGGTCCGCTCAAATGTCACCCCAATGACCCCGATTCACCCTTATGCTGAATGGTTAGCTGTAGCTAAATTTTCATACATGCTCTACCTCTACTTTACTGACCGGTACGTTACTGTTTACATATATGATCCAAGACAAAATCCAATACCACAAAATAGTCAGTTCAAATCAAAAGATTTTTAAAATGCAACTGTTCACTTTCAGAACAACTAAATACAAAACACGGCAATACACAAAAGGCATCAAATATGCATTTTTTCGGAACATTGTAAATCAACTGCATTCTTTGAAAGGTTACCTAGAGAATTTATGCAAAGTTTATTTTTTTGTTTTTCTTTATACAAGTAAAATAAATTCACATCGTATTTTGATGTTATTATGATTTTTAGTTTTAGTGATAATTTAAAAATAATAAATATTTATCATTAGTACTAATAATGGAAAATTAAGTTAAAAATTTAAAAGAATCGTTTTTGGAATCGGAAAATAGGCACAAATTTTTCCGATACCCCAAAAAGTTCCAATTTTTCCGATTCTCGATTCCGATTCCGATTAATCGCCCCAACACTAGTAGATATATTCAAAAGTATATTGATCACTCAATGGAAAATTGTATCCCAGCGAATTGATACACAGGCAAGACTGAAATTGTTGCACTTTTGGCTTCGTATTTCGCTTTGTTGTTATTAATGATGCAGAGTTAAAACACCATATCATCCGATAAAATTTTACAACAATGTCTCTCGTTAGTAAACATGATTGTAGCAACTGAAACACATGAAAGCTGAAAACATTGCTATTTTTCCTACTCACAAATTTCCCGACAATTTATTAGAAAATTTCTGACGGGGGGACAAAACTGGGGGGTCATATGCCCGCCTGCGAAACCCTGTGTTTTCAGACTATTTTTGGCACCTTAGCCTGGTTGAAAAATTTTGTTGGGGGTGACATTGTGTCACCCCTTCTGTACTGGCACCCGGGGCGGTCCGCCCCACCCCTTAGCTACGCCACTGAACAATGCATAACCTACCTAGCGAATTTTTGTAAATGGATGATAGATCAGGATTTAAGAGAGATAACCAAAAAGACAGCATTTATTAATTTGGAAACACCTCGACTTATGTATACAGTCTGTCCCCAAATGCTTGTCGAAATTTCTGCTCCTGTCTGTGCTACAACGAACAGGAATTCATGTAGAGCCATGATCGCCAGCGTTCTGAAGGGATACGGAACGCAGAAGAACAAGTGTTTTCATTTTTGATGCAGCGACTTTATTTATGAACCAAATAATGTGATGCCCTCGATTTAAGACTTTTTGAATGTTGCTTTGTTTGATTTACGTTTAAATAATTGAAAACGAAAACATTTTTTCTATTTGCCTTTTTCCTAGTTGTTTATAATAATGAAACTCTGAGTAGCACAGCGTTTGTTTACAACAAGCAACGCATTCTAATTAGATTTATATCATTTGCCAGAAATACTAACAAGTGTGAAACGAAGGTGAAAAATGTCTAGATCGCTGATGTAAATATTTTCTCCAAACGTCAACAAACTGCTTCTTACAAGTGGCTTCCAGTGGAGGCAGTTATGAAGTTAAATAATCATTGCCTTCAGCGGGTTGTCGGGTGAAGTTGTGTTGGTTGTCAATCCACTGTGAATAGCCATGACTTAATCGCCATTTAAAGCATCACTGGAATAATTTACCAGACCGAAGCAACTACAAGAGCGCATTTGTTTAACTAACAATCTCTCTCCCTCTCCTCCCCTCTCTCTGTTTGACGGCGTCGTCTGTTTCGATGTGCATCGGTGGTATTCGAAACTACTATAGGTTTGCGGGCTTTCGTATGTGTCTGCTTTATTTGAAGCAGGAGCAGAAATATCGTCAGGTATTTGGGGACTGCTTGCATGCGTCATAAGCATAAGGTGTTCCCAATTGAATCTGTCCAAGTAATTTTATATCTTGTCGCTTTATGCAATGTGTCCGTTTAGTGCGAGGAACCACCTCTTAATTGCTGCTGTTCCCTGGTTCACGTTGACCTAGGGTGGTATCACCTGTTAGGGTCCCAGCTATGGGCAAATAGTGAAAAATAGTGAATATCTACATGTTTATATTAAAATTATCAACATGTTATGATTTACAAAATGTATATCTAAAAATTAGGTACCTCCACTTTTTCGCCGAAAAATACAGCTTAGTATGATGAAAAAAAAGTTTCCAAACTTAATAAAAGCAAAGTGTTATCGTCAAAATGTTTGTTATTATTAAGAGGAAAGACAAACGTATTTTTTATTAAATTTTTTAATCCTTTCTATCACATTTTTATTAAATTTTATTAAATTTTTTAATCCTTTCTATCTATTCTTGTTCACGTCAGCGGTCGACGTCAAATTTACGATTAGTGTTTTAGTGCCTTTTTCAGGTGAAAAACACATTAATTTGGAAATTCTTACAAAAATCAAATAATTGTTGGATTTTAATGAAACTTTCAGGACTTATCACAAATGAATAAAATTATTTTTTGAATTTTTAGAAATCATTGGCATATATATATATATATATATATATATATATACACACACAGACAGACACACACATTCTTAATTTCATGAAATTCGGAGAAATTAAATTTTCATCCGTTAAAAGATGGTTTCTTTGGAAAATGTAAATCAATTTTTTTTTTTTTTTTTTTTTTTTTCAAAGTACTACTCATTTCCCAAAAATCTGCTCCGAATCGAAAATAAAAAAAAAATTTAAATTATCTAATTTAAAAATTTTTTTTAGGGAGAATATTTCCATAATTTTTAAGATTACCGGGTACCCAAAAATTATATAAAATGCGTTCACCAGTCATTTTCTTAAATTATGTTTAAACATATAAAGTCTCCATAGAACAACAAATAAAACGGTCAATACCTTCCAGAACTTACGTGATTGACGAGCACCTAATCACCGCTACTGTTTGTTTTAAAAATCCATTTCTCTTTTAAACTTGAAGTAAATTTTTTTCAAATTGGATTAATTACACTTCAAATTAGGTAATATTCCTCAAATAAAGTTTCAGAAAAGTATATTTTATTTTTGGAAGATTTTTAAAACCAAGAATTAACTTTTGTTTATGTGTCAAAATGACCGATTTAAATGATTTTACTGAAAGCGACCAAAAAGTTGAGATTCTAATCAATATAATTTCTATTTGAAATACACTAGTGCCCCACCCCAGGGCTCAATCCTTAGTCCTGTTCTTTTAATTTTCATTAATGACCTTCTTGATGTCATTAGCTCTCAACTTGGTATCTATGCTGACGACGCAACAATTTACTTTGCCTCGATTGTAAGGCTTATCAGTTTGGCAAGGTCAAAATGGCAGCCAATGTCCAAAACGACCAAGTCCGTGGTTAACTGGGACAAAAGATGGCCTTGTTAATTTTAACGCCTCCAAAACTAAACTTCTTTCCATTAATCACCTGAGAGACCCCCTCTCTGCTTTCTATCTCCGAAGGGAAAAGTGACCGGGTGCGTCTTCTTGGGCTCATGTTCTCTGCTGATATGGAAAGACTCTGTTGAATCCATTGCTAGGTCAGTTGCTAAGAAAGTCTGTTCACTATGTCGGGCGAGAAATTTTTTCTCTCCTGAATCCATCTTACATATCTATGTCTGCCATTCGCCTATGCTTAAAATATTGCTGCCGCATATAGTCCGATACCCCTGCTATTTACCTTGAGCTCCTTGATAAAGTCCAAAGAAAAATTTGCAATATTATTGGTCCTGCTCTAGCGGTTCAGCTCCAGTTACTTTCCCACCGCCATAAGGTTGCATCTCTCTCTTTTCTATAAATACTTTCATTGTAATTTGTCGCATGAGCTCTCTCCTATGGTACCTAACGTTTTTGAATTTAAGCGCAGCACTAGATTGGCATCTAAATCTCATCAATTTACAGTTGAGCTGGCTAGATGTAGCCATAAGTACTATGTTAACAGTTTCTTTTCTCGCACTTCTCGCTTGTGAAACTCCTTTCTGGCTCCATGCTTTCCAGACAACTTTAATCTGCAAAAATTTAAATGCAATGTCAATCACTATCTACTCTCCGCCTGACTACTCTCTTCTCTTTCTGCTCATTATTAATGTTTCTGTTCCTAATTCCTCCACACCCTCTAATCCTTTGTGTTTTAGCGGCGCTAATGCCTTGCGTGGGGTGATTTTGATAAAAAAAAAATATTGTAGAGCCGAGTTCCAATTCCAGTTGTGTTTGTTATATCAATTTACGCACAAATATCTTTGGGAAAGGTATGACCCCATTTATTCTCCCTCCGGCTAAG